ACTGTTGCTTCAGATCCAAAAAATCTACAGGTGTTTCTGTCCATCCTTCCACTGTGAGAAGACAACTCAGCGCTATGAGTCTGAATGGATGTGTAGCTGTCAAGAAGCTGTTACTGAGAAAAGGAAATAGACAAAAAAAGAAATAGAATAAAAAAGCTGTTGGTGTTCTCAGAACAATGGACTAACCACTCCAGAGTCCAGACCTCAACATGATTGAACGTATCCAGGGTTACTTGGATCGTGAGAAGCAGAAAATGCAACCAACTTGTAAGACTGAACTTTGAAGGTGTGGAAAAATATCATTCCAATTTTCTTTTTGCAAAATTGAAAGCAAATCTCACAAAAATAATGGAGGCTGTAATAGAGGCAAAGGGTGGACACACTTAATACTGAAAATTTGATTTTTATTATAGTTGTTGAGGCTTTTGTGTATTTTTCTGTTAAATATGGATTTTCCATTTTTTTTCCTGATGCTGAAAAATGATTAACATGTCCCTAATGTGGCCATTTTGACTGGAACTGAAATAAATTAAGGGTGGTCTCTGACTTTTGCACAGCACTGTATGTGTCCCATTATATTCACATGCATTCTTAAAATTCTTTGTTGTCTAATTAAATGATAGCAATTATAGAAGCATTAAAGTATCTTAACATAAAATTAATCATTTCAGAGTGTCTTTTTCACATTTGAGGTTTTAGGCACTGTTTTACTGGCATTTAATACAAACAAGTCTCAGGGTCCCTCAGGAGAAGCTTTCTGACAAACCTGCATTACTTTGAGGCATGCCGACTGAGCCGGCTGACTACAAGTCTTGACAAAGCTGCTAAACTGAAGCACACCCTGTGTTGGAAAGCCTCTTAGATAACATTTGCCTGAATTAGTTTCTAAATTGGGTCCAGTGGGATTGTTAACAGAGCACCAGGATTTTTGTTCAGTAAAATCTTTGAGACGAAAGGAGGAATTCCGAAGGAGAGCATTGGATAATTAGAGACAGATGGAAGGGGAAAAGAGGAGCAAAGGGAGAGAGAGAGTGAGTGAGGTCAGTATAATTAGCTAAAATAGAGGCAGGTCAGAACTTGGGTGATGGCTAGAGAACGCACAGAGTCCATCACACTGACAACATGACAAACTGACTTCAGATACTTTATCTAATTAGCATTTTCTCTGCTCATCTGTTGCAGATTCCAAATTTGGACTGTTTCATAATTCATTCATTTTGATTACACTTCATTCACAGCAATGCTTAATGTCCATCTTCTCTTCACTAATGCACACCTTTATTGCTTCATCTGCTGACCCTAAACATGATTAAATGTATGATTTTTTACAATAAAACATAAGAGATGCAGGAGATACGATTTCATATTAGATACATCATTATTATACAATTACATCAAGAAAGTGAAAGCATTTCAGAATGTCCTGCTTTTATGTCATAGTCGATGTTTTCTACAACTTTTTATGCTAATGGGAAATTGTGGACAGGGCAACGGATGCATTAATTATGCAAATCTGCAGCACTGATATAGCACACTGATTCTACTTTATGTACTGATTCTAAAGCTACACAGTTAGAAAAGATGGTTCTTCAAGATAAACTTACCAACTCAGATTTCTTTACAGTGGTGCTGATAAGAACCAGAGGTTGCAAAACTACAACTTAAATATAGACATTTCATTGGCTATCCAAAATGACTAGTGAATCTCCATGTGTCTGCAAACCCAGACGAGTTTTTATTTGTAACGATAATGGTAAAATTGAATAAATCATATATACAGCCTGCATGTACCTCTCTGCCATGAAAGCATTTTAGAAAATAAATTTTAGGCCAAAATGTAATCTAAAAACTATTGTAAAACAATCTTTCAGGCATTAGATAACATTTTCACAATAATTTTGCATAATAACTTTCTATGAGAACATCTCTCTCTGGGTAAGCTCCTCTACAACGGAACATTTCATATCTAACCATCAAACTGCAGGACTAATTACAGACATTGATTGTGATTGATCAGTTCTATGAGCTATGATGTCACTGTCAACTTCAATCCATATCATAAAACTACTGTGAAATAATGTGAAAATTTGGAAATTGTACATTGTTTTTAGGATTCTGCAATACAATGTCTTTTTTCCCCCTGTTGTTTTATGGTCAAAACTGAAATATGATAGTAAGCAGATTTCTATCAAGTAGAGCCTAATGAAAGTTTAACACCATCCTGATTTAGGTTGAGTTGAACCTTTTCTGGCAGGTCCCCTAGTGTTGACTCTGATATTTTTCATCACTATAATCAAATTAAATATTTTTCTCTGTAACTCTCCCTCTCTGTGTGTGAAATGACGTCATCCTGCGTTGAGCTGCTAGCAAGCAATAAGGGGTGAAAGGGGACGGGTGAGAACCCTCTGCTGCAAAAACAATTCATACCTCTCACAAAGGCGTCAGTGCTAAAAGAGTTAAAACAGACAGAACAACTACAACTTTCTTGATATCCAAAATTCATGTACAACTGCCACAATTAAAAAAATATATAAAAAAAAAACAGCATTTAACAAGTCACACTTACTTTCAAGATCTGTATAAGCAAAAATCTGCAAAATGTTGCAGGCGCTAGGTAATTGTTCAATCAAAAATTAGCCAAATTCATAAAGATATCAAAATTCAGTTAGCATTTACATGTCCAGGGTCTCCTGAAAATAACATATGGCATGTGTGACTGTCTCATGTAAATACTTCATAATTACAACTGTAATTGTAGTTGCCCCAAATACCAAAATGACCCTGGGGTTCTAAGGGTTAAACACAATAAAATATTTTTGTATGCTGATTTGCTCGCTTACCTACACAGATGAAAATCCAATTCATTGACGTTATCAAAGAAAAAAAAAATTTAAGTGCTAAAACTGAAGGACCTCCAAAACCGGTGGAAAGTGCATTTTGTGGTTACTGTGAAAAAGGGTATATTTTATATAGATTTAGTAGTGAAACTTATTTGCTGGATGTACTGACCATATAGACTGTATTTTATTTTTAATATCTGATATATTTTGAATATTCATTCATTTACAAATTGAAAGAGCACTGTATTGTGGCAGAGCCTGAGGTCTACACTCATACAAACTACTAACGCAAGTCATAAGTATTGACCATGCTGCACAACTATGTGCTATTATAAGTCACTGCTGTGGAGAATGACCCTGACGTCTGTTACAGTAGCTGTAAGAATCTCATTATTATCAGTCTCTGGGACCATAGCAGAAGGTAAAGCATTGCTTAATGGGCAAATCGAATGTTCTGCAGTTCAAGTTTCCTCGGAGACAAATGAGGGAAGGGGCCTGAGCTGAGCTCTCTGCAATCTCCCAAATGAAGGAGTTTGATTCACAACCTGCACTTGTCAGATCCAGCTGAGCAGCTGTGATTGATCAGCCTCTAATTAAGAGAGGCACGCAAGCGCACACACGCGCTCGCACACACACAAACACACAGGCATGCATGCAGCTCAGTCATTAGATGGAATGATGATAGTGTAGAGTTGTGCTGAGTAAAAACACCATGAACTTTAGCATCAATCTTAAAGGCCATTCATTGCTCTGACTTCACGGGAGAGAATGAACTACAAACTGTCTCCAAACCTTTGTTGCTCATGCAATGTTTCTTCTGAAATTAAAGCTATTAATAAGGAGTTTGTTCCCTCTTTGCTGCAGTAACAGCCTCTACTCTTTTGGAAAGGCTTTGCACTAAATGTTGGAACACTGCTGTGAGGATTTGATTGCATTCAACCATGAGAACGTTAGTGAGGTCCGCTACCAATGTTAAATGACTTCCGGATCACTCCAACTCATTCCAAAGGACTCTGTTGTTCCAGAGAATGCAGTTCTCCGCAGCAACACAGGCCAATGCTTGGGTGGAGGGGGGCACTTTATACCTCTCTAGCCAACACTTGGCATTAGGTATGGTGACGTTAGGCTCGTATGAGGCTGCTCCAAAGTGTTAAGTTTGGTAACACATTAGATGCTTTATAGATACTTCATTTACTTTCAAGTTACATTCAACTAAATATCTTCTAAATTGACCATAGTTTTCTTTAACTCTAAACCTGGCTCTAGTCCTAACCCTAACCTTAACCTCAACCCAAAACCTAAACCCAACACTCACTCTGGTCCTAGCCCTAACCTTGGTCCAAATCCTAACCCTAATCCCACCACTGTTTAGAATAAAGAGTTTCAACAGATAGTTTGTTAACAATTTGAACATTTGTAGATAATCTATAGGGGACAATAGTGGACTATCCAATTAAAGTGAGACCTTAAGTTCTACTGGTAATGCCGGTGTGTGCAACTGAATACCTAAGTCAGTAATGAGTGCACCTTAAAGTAGCTGAATTTACTTATTGGAATAGCTGTCTGGACACTTCTGGACATATAGTGTACTTTATGTACAGTGTAAATTGTGTCACATATCTTCAAAATCAAATATGTATACTCACACACCCTATTTTGCTGGCCACTGACCCAACGGACAGCTTCTGACCTGCCCTGAACTATAAAAAAAGGCCTTCTTGTTTACTGAACTACTGATAGAGGTGAAACTGTTCAAAGAAAGACCCTGAAAGGTGCAAAAGAGGAAGACATGAACAGAGAGAGAAACCAGCCAAAGAGTACACACTCAAAGGAGGTCAGCTAGGCTGCACATTTAAAGAAAAATGAGAGATGAAGAGGGAGAAAAAAAAGGAGTTTCAGCAGACTGGCTCCATCAGAAAGGATTCCTCTTATAGCCATTACCAATCTGTGACTTGTACATGTGTCACACACGTTTAAGGGACACTGCACTCTTTACCGTGTCACTGTGACATCATTATGCCATATCACTGAACGTAAAGCATATCACAATGGCGTAGATGTCACTTCCCAGCAACATCAAGCCAGTGTTGGTGACTTCATAACAACACTGTATCCTTTAACACTCTGCCTGTGTCTCCCTGTGACCTCAAAACGTTCTACCTGTCTCTGTGACTTCATCGCCTTTGTCGTCTTCATCTTCCTTCCCCTCTTTTGGTTTGTCCTCGTCCTCAGTTTGCTTCTCCAGAAGTTCAGGTACGACAAAGCTCTCCTGGTTCTCCAGTGGGCACATGTAGTGGATCAAATCTCCTTTAAAGATCTCCAGGAAGGGATATGCAGACAGTCTTCTTTCCTGAAAAAAATGAGTGAAAGAGAGAGCTTAGTACATGTTTAGTACTGTTTACTTTATATACACCTATTAATACTATGTTTGGCAGTCCATGCACTCAACATAACCTTATTCTATGAACACCACAATGATTATAATATCTTGCATTAATGAAGAATTCAGTTGACGTATGCGATCACTGATGTGTGTAGAGATTTTACAACGTAGAGTTTCTTTTATTAAGAACAATAGCCATACAGAAAGCGTCACAGTGAGAACATGGCTGGACGCTCAGTGAGAATGGATGTTCTTGGGGAGAGTTCAAGTTCAAACTCATCAGGTTCAGGATGGTTAAGTTTGGAGAAGCTCATTTTACACTCTACTGATACAGATTTAATTTAATGAATTTATTGCATTTGTATAGACCACGCCTTTTTCTAATAAAAAAGTTTTCATAATGCGACTGGGTGGATATACTCCATACATTAGCGAACTAAACAAGTGGATCTCAAACTGGGGGCCATGGCCCACTGACAGGCTGCAGGAAAATCTCAGAAGCTGTTTCTCTACTTAGTAAATTTTTACTTTGTCAGTTTATTTAACCTGCCATATCTAAAAAAGATGGTACTTGTTTAAAATGGTAGATATTATCGCGCATTATTAAAATGAAATACATGTCAACAAGTCACAATTCACAGTCATATGAGTTGATCGGTTATCTCTAATGTCATAGAACAGGGTCAGGTCTCTATGTGGAGGTCAGTATTAGTTGCTTGCAACATTGACACGGTTGTGGTAATACTTGGTTCTTTATTTGATAAGGGAAAGAATTGACCAGTGGGGGGATGAGAGGGAACACAATGACACATTTGCTATCCACAAAGGGGGTCTTAGATTAAAAACTCTGCTGCTGAACTAAATGACTTCCTTTTAAAACTGATCAAGCTGACTGCCTTTCATGGTGTAAATGTCAAACCACATGTCATCTATTATCATTTTTCTGGTCTCGTTCTGGATTTAATATAATGCAGTCCTTATCTTGCCATTAAATAGGCTGGGAGCCCCCCAGCTTGGATGGGATACAGACATCAAGATTTAATTTGCAGGTTAACGTTTTCCTCCCAGCATTTGTTTTAAGCATAGTGTGTGCTCATTTTTTAACCAAATCAAAGATTCAGTGTGTTCTCATATGTAAGGATGCAGTATATTCAGACCCCAAGTCAAGAGCAGATCCCATAACTGATACAGCAGTGTGTTGCAGAGGCAAGCTGGCTTGTGCTGGAGGAGCAGCATCAAGCAGCTCTAGCATCAAGTCATAGTTGGGTTTAAATCACAGAACATCTTGGCCTTTAAAGAAACAATGTTCCTGAAATATTAGTTTGGTTAGTTAGGGGGCTTTACTGAAATATGTGTACCCTTTAATATGAATAAGAACTCCTTTTGGATGTTTGCAGACACAAGCAACTTCCTTTAGCATTCTACAAGTCCTAATAATCAAAAGCAGATCTATTTGTGCTTTCTTATGAACCTGAGAGTCCACACAGCTTTAGTGTGGAACTACTAACACTATTCTTATACATTTCTATAGAAATGTATTGCCGGCTTACAGTTTGCACACCTTCATTAAAACCAGTGGTCACAAATTTTTGGATGTTGTATGTAGGCCTGATGTGTTTGGTGTGTAGTAGCTTTACCACAGTGACATGATACACTGCTAAACCACAAACTGTAAAATTAGTGGCCACACCTGATTGTTTGCAGTTTAATAGGTTCAATACGTTCAATGCTGATTCATTCTGTTGATTATAAGGCGGCAGTGTAACAGTGCTTTGCTGAAGACCTTTACTGTTGCTCTGGCTCATTAGCTTCCCCCCACATCTCCTTTACTGAGCAAATACACAGGCCTTATGACAACTCCACAGCTGGACCAGGCAAGACTTTACACCAATTAGGCCACTCGTAACAACACTGCCTTGTTATGCTTGAGACCAGACACCACACAAACATTATTCAGAGAACGCAACGCAAAGCAGAGCCAACTGGCCTGCTGACAAAAAGACAGTAAACCTAAATTTGCCTCCTGGATTTTATCATTATGGTCACCTTAAAGCACCCTTAAAAGCACTTATGTCAGTATGTTAAGCAGAACTTGGTTAGTAAAACAGAATAGGTGATAAGTCAAAAAGGTTTATATCCAAATAAAGGGACAAGAAAACTACAAAATACCTCTTATAATGACATCTACCCTCATATTATCATTACTACTACAATTTCTAGGTGACATTTTAGTGAGACTTCATTGTTGCATTTATTTCAGCATCATTTCTATCTTCCAAATAACATAATACATCATAAAATATTAATGTTTCATAAAACGCTGCTAACATGAATGTGAGGCACAAGCATATTTAATTTGTTAGCTTAAGCTCCACAGAGAGACGTGCTATATAAAACACACACACATAAGCAGGGAAACAGGCATCCTTAGAGTGGCCAATTGTGCTAAAAAAGGGAGACAAATGGGCAAATGGGCTGGAAAACAGCAGACTCAGGAGGTGATTATCACTGAGATAAATAAAATTCATCATAGTGAAGAACCATTTGACCATGCAAAGAACCATTAACTCATTCATTTGGTTCTTTGAGTGTTCATGGTTCTATATAGAACCATTTCCTTCCCCAAAGAACCCTTGAAGAACCATTTGTGTATACTTTCCCTATACTGGTGGGAAATATGACAATATTTTATCATATCATCAAAAATTTAATCACAATATACTTTTTTGAGCATTTTGTGGATAAGAAGACTGAACAACTGCATATGTCATCACAAAGAAAGAACAATTAGTCCTGTTTAATTGAATTTAGCTCAGCACAGTATGTGAACCCTTTAACAAAAATCACTGTATTTACAGCTTTTGATAGTATTTTAAACAGGGCAATGCTGGTGTGTTTGCTGTTCTTATTTAACAAATACTGTGATATGCACGGTGGCTGAGAAGACCCAATAAACTGCGAATAAAAACAAGCTGCAAAAAGCAGCAAGTTTAATCAAAATGACAACATGGACGCTGCATTTTACGAACACGCTGCAAAGTTCGAGACACTCTGCAAATTCAGAAAACAGTTTCATCAAAGTGCGACACCAACACTACATTTCACAAAAGGGCTGAACATACAGAAACACATGCAACTTCAGAAACACTGATAAGCCAGTCACAACAGAACGGAGGTGTTTCTGGAGGACACTCAAAGAGGACTGAGCTGTTCAGACTTTTACATTTTATGCAGCACAAACATTCATCAGTAAAAGTGAACTTTTATTTGAGCAGATTACTACTATCACTGTATCGTAATAGGAATATATGTACTCTGTATCGTGAAAACATTCTGAGGTCTTCTAAAGTTTTTTGCCATATCACCCACCAACTAATTTCTCTACACTTTTTGCACCCCTGGACAAAATTACGGTTTAGCAAGCTAAAGGACTTTGCAGTCTCTGCCTGCCGAAGCCGGAAAGGTAGAAACCAGAAGGCTAGATGGTTCAGGATACAAAAAAATCCCTCACAGAACACAAATGACACATTGCCAATACCTGGCAAAGTCCTATGGGCAATGGAAGAACAGAGAGCAAAAACAGAATGGATGTATGAGGGGGAAAAAATGAAAAAAAAAAATGTGAAAAGGAGCTCCAGCAAGCAAGAGTTCAGAAGAAGAAAGAAAAGGGTCAGGTATGAAAGGACGAGGGAATATTAAGAGACGGAGGGTGAGAAGAGGAGAAAAAAAAGGAGAGAATAGAGGTGGAGCACTTTTCCTGCTGGGTGTTATACATAGCTCTCACTCTCTCTCTCTCTTTCTCTCTCTCGCTTTCTCACAGTTATGGCTGATTGATTGGTTTTAATCTAATCCTGTGTGAAAGAGCTATGTAGTGAGCAGCATGAATCACCTGATACACATAAAGAGTGCGGCCCCCGGGGGCCCACATGCAAATGAGAGTACATCTCCTTGAAGCAGGAGAGATAATGAGTGGGGGCGAGAAAGAAAGAGAGAAAGTGAGAGAGAGAGATAAGGGGGAAGAAGAAAACAAAGACAGTACATCCCACACTCACGTCTCCGCAGAAAAAGGGTGTCAAAAGACGACAATATGACAGAGAGAGGAGAAAGGGGAAGAGAAGAGACTGGTAAACATGTATCTGCCGTGCTCTCTCTTGCCTAGGGCACATTACAATGAAATCAATCTAATCTAGACGCTGAGGAAAACGTTTCAATGTGCATTCACTCAGGTTTCAGGTTAATCCCCTCAACAGGGCCATCCTTTACATGGCAATTATATCAGCACCACTTATATTCAAGTGCATTTAATTAAAAGTTTGATAGTGAGTAGAGTTTATATGCAGGTCAATGGCATGATTGACCTGAAACCTATACGCTTTGTTCCAGATGGTCAAAGTACCAATAGATCTCAACTTACCGCTGTTTTAATAACTTGCATTTGGATAGTCTGCTGTAACAGCCAAGGCTGCTTTTAGGCAGGGGCAAAAGAGCCTCTCAGATAAATGAAATTAACTCCAATGTGAAAGGATTAAGTTCAAACAGAGACATAAACCACACTTTACAGCTCCTTTCAAACATGCTACATTAAAAAAAACATCACTTTTCATCTAATGCTTTAGTGATTATGAATGTTACAATTGAAAATTATACAGCTATGAAAGATTAGCTGTTTGAGGCACAATTACATTACTAAGTACACTCTTTAAAATAAGGGATCTTTAGAGCAATGGCATAGAAGAACTGCATTTGGATCCCTAAAGAACCTTTTAATGTATGTTTCTTAAAGTAACCATCTTTGTAAATGAGAAATGCAGGTCTGAAGAAGCTCTTTAGACCACTTAAAATCCCAGACTTATTACATACTAAGGTTTATTATTCAGTAACTACAGGCACTTCAATGCTGGTGGAGCTATTTTTAGGACAGAAGTGTGTAATAAAGCTTTAGGCTTGCCAGCAGGCACTAGCCATCT